TTTCCTTTTTTGATTTTTGAGACGGAGTTTCTCTGTGTAACAGTTCTGGCTGTCCTGCACCTCCCTCTGTGGACCAGGCGTCCTTGAACAGAGATCCACCTGCTTCTGCCTCCCGTTGCTGGGATTAAACAGGTGTGCCACGTTAAGCTATACTTAAATTATCCTTAAAGCGACAAATTTGTTTCTTCATCCCTGAAAACATGGAGAACTTGTGATTTAAACAACACACTGTATGTAAAGCCTTATTCAAACAGGTCCGTCTCCTTCCCCAAAAATGTCTGAATCCGCAAAAGTTTTATTTTTCATCATGATAAATTGGCCAAATTGCAGCCTATAAACACTAGTTGGTGTGCATTTCCCCCTGAGAAACCTTCCAAGACCGAATGACGAGAAAGTTTAGGATGAGCTGGTCAGAACGGTCGGGCGCACGCCTTTAATCCCAGCACTCGGGAGGCAGATGCAGGCGGATCTCTGGGAGTTCGAGGCCAGCCTGGTCTACAAGAGCTAGTGCCAGGACAGGCTCCAAAGTTACAGAGAAACCCTGTCTCGAAAAACTAAAAAAAAAAAAAAAAAAAACAAAAAAAAAAAAAAAAAAAAAAAAAAAAAAAAAAAAAAAAAAAAAAAAAAAAAAAAAAATTGCTTAAGCAGATAAACGGCAGTTAGAGGCAGAGGACCTTGAGCCTCTGTGCTTTTATTTGAATCAGCCCTGGGCAGCGTTGCCTACAACAAAAATCCCTGAGAAACCCTGTCTCCTTGGTAAATGGGAGTTTTGAGTAAAGGTTTGAGCATATAAATAGGAAGGATAAAATGGAGGGAGAGAGGTAATGACCCTTGTGAATTGCTGCTGCCTCAAGTTTTTTGGTAAGAGGGAAATTTTTCTCTTTCCCAATGTGTAATTTCATCTTGCCAGGGCTTAATTATAAACTGAATTACTACTCGAGCATTTGGGAGTCCCCTCCCATTTAAATCACCATACGTTGAAAGACACGCACCCTACTTTCACAAGGGTCAGCTCTGGAGCCTGCAGAGAGGGGGGAACACCTCTCCTGAGAGCAAAGCAAATCATGCCAGTAACTATTACTAGCGACAGGCAAAGCTGCTGATGATTGGTTCAACTAACCCAAGGTGAGTCACAATTTTGTACACAGGTGATATTTTTTTTTTGTTGTTGTTTCTTTGAAGCATCCAAGAAGAGTTTCTCTGATTCTTAACATCTACTGCTGCTGGGTAGAAGCGAGGACAGCCATGACAAAAACTGGAGTTTTAAGAAAGGGTGACTATACATCAATTCTGGTAAAGGAGCGAAAACCACGAATTTTGTAAAAATATCAAAAGGTGGTCTTCAAAGGAACAAATAGTTTTAGCTTTGGTGGTGTGGTGGCCACTTGCAGATAGCATTCATAAGGAATGAAGGATCCAGGAAAAGATGGAAATAATTTGAGTTTTTTTTAAGTTTTTTTTGGGGGGAAGACACATAAAAATTACTCCAAGGCAAATAATCTTTCATATTTACATCTAGCATGACACTATTAAAAAGCTGCAGGCCAAAACAGTAGCACTTAGCCTGTCTGAAATTTAACCAGTCCCATTTGGTTCCCTGGGAATTTTACTTTACCAAAGGCTCAGTGGGGTGGGTGTGGCGGTAACAGCCCATTCCTGTCCTTGGCATCCCAGCACTCACAAGGTAAAGGTGGGGTCGCTGCAAGATGTAGATCAGCCTGGTCTCAGTGAATTCCAGAACCTCTAGGGTTCACGGCAAGACCCAGGTCCCCTAAAAGGCTGCAATATGATCAAAATATAGTCTATACATGTGTGAAATTCTTAAAAAAATAAAAAAAAATACATTGAAAGAAGTCGCTAATTGGAAGGTCAAGGCCAACATCTGGTGGGTGTATTTCTGATATACATTAACACATGGTACTGTAGCTTTATGTTGATACACGTCTTCCTCCATGTCTGCATATACATACATAGCAGTAAATTTGTACATTTTTATTACAAATATTTGTGTATGCACATTTGTGGTCACTTGTCATGGTCCACAGGTGGTGATCAGAGCTTAATTTACTGGAGCCACGTCACCTGCCCCGGTCTCCTGTTGTCTTTTTAATTTACTTATTTTTATGTGTGTATTGTGTTTTGTATGAGCTTACGTCCAGGTGTGTGGTGCGGAAGCAGTGCCCATGGGGGCTAGAAGAGCACATCAGATCCCCTGGGAACTGGATTTACAGACGGTCATGATCCACTATGTAGGTGCTAGGAAATGACCCCTGATCTGAAAGAGCAGCCAGCAGGTGCCCATGGAGACCAGAGAAAGGAGTGAGTTATTATGGAACCGGAGTTCTGGGAGGTTGGGAGCAGCCTGACTGTAATGCTAGGAAATGAACTCAGATTTTTCTACAAGATTAAGTACTCTTTTTTTTTTTTTTTTTTTTTTTTTTTTGAGGCAGGGTTTCTCTGTGTATCCTTGGCTGTCCTGAAACTACCTCTGTGGACCAGG